TCTTAATGTTAGATTATGCTTATTCTAGTGCCTGTCTACGATGGAGCTTTCAAGCCACCACTCTCCGAGGAACCAATACGTACTTTCGCTTAACTGCTGGCTACCTGGCGTGTCCACAGGTGGCGTATAGTAGGATGGCTTTCCGCGAAGGTTAGATGCGAACTAGGCAGGCTCCTGGGTCTGGCGAATATGCCGTCCCGGACCAGCAGCGATAGTGCTATGGCGGGCTGATGTGTGGCGCACCGACTGCCTTATACAACGCTACAAGTTCCAATGACGACACTGTGACCTGGCGACCGTGAACCGCCGTGAAATAGGTTTGCTTGCCACCCCGCTGCCTTGTGGTTAGGTTCTTTAGCCAGAGTGCTAGAGGAGACAACCTCAAACAAACAATCCCAGCAGCTGTTGCGGACCCGCCTGTATTCCAAATCCCCAAGAAACCTCATGCACATGTCTACTTACTGTATTGTGAGTTCGGCTAGGTCAGGCATGATCACAACCGTATCAAATACAAGTACACTACACAACTTTCCGACGTACTGTCAGATCCTCACAAAGCACTAAGACTCGTGATTTGGAAGGCTTCGAAATTCCCATATGGTTCATAGAATCAGTATGCCTAACGTTAATAGTAGATTCTGTGTGATAATGGCCGAAATACGGATGTAGATCACCTAAGGAAAAAGTAGACGATAAAATTTCTTACCTTTTAATGAAACTCTTATCTGATTGACAGTATACTATCTTCTCAGAGCGAACTTGTCTGCTCAAGTACAGTGAAACCTCGGTTAACGAGTTTAATCCGTGCCAGCACCGAGCTCGTCACCTGAAATGTTCGTCTTGCGGAATGTAGCCAATCAAACTGCATGAGTTCATTGATTGGCTGCAGGTAATCGAGGACGCACACCCTAGGAGCAAGGCTCAACGGCGGACACAGGCACACAAACGCACTAATTGCTCGTTACCTAAGCGAAAGCTCGTCAATCGAAACAAGTTTTCTGCGAGTGGCTCGTTCGTTGCCCGAATTGTTCGTGGGTAGAACTGCTCCTCACCCAAGTCTCCACTATATCTTCCCAGTAAAATGTCCACTTGCATAATACCTTGGCCAACCACTCAATTTGTATGAAAGTTTACGTCCACTATCAATAGTTTGGATCACAGCATACGCTTTAGCTCCGACTTTACACTATGTAACAAACTCCTGTCGGCCGCAGCAATTACAATCTATTTTTGTTTTGTTTTCCTTACTTCCTCAATCACTAGCCTGACTCGGATCTGGAAGCACCAGTCAGTCCTGGGTTCACTATTCTCGACCTTACTGAGGAGGAACAATTGCAAATGGCTCTCCGGGCTTCTGCCGCTGAGACCGCCGGTTGTTCTACGTCTGCTTCTGCATCCGACCCCGTTAACACCCCCAGCACCTCGGCCTCAGCTACAAATGTGCATTCCTCCACCCGGCCGGTAAGTTGTAAATCAGCACAAGAGAGAGATGCGCGCTTATGTCCTCTTCTGGTGATCTCT